GTGTGGGCCTGGGGTAGGCAGGGAGCCTGCCTTAGCCTAATGGCACCCGCCGCCGACTGGGAGCCGCCAGAGGTAAGTGCTGCCCCCCGGGAGGCCACACCCCATCCCTGAGCCCCCTCCCGGAGCCAGCACCCCAAACCCTCTCCTGCACTCTGAACTCCCTCCTGCATCCCAAGCCCCACCCTAAGCCCCTGCTCAGAGCCAGCACCCGAAACCCCCTCCTGCACCCGAACCCCCAGCCATGAGCCACCTCAGTGCCAGTACCCCATACCCCCTTCTGCACTCCGAACCCCCTCCTGAACCCAAAGCCCCAGCCCTGACCCCCTTCCTAGAGCCAGCACCCTGTACCCCCTACTGCACCCCAACACTCTGCCCCAGTCTTGACCCCCTTCCAGAGCCGGCACCCCATACCTCCTGCTTCAGCCCTGAGCCCCCTCCCAGAGCCCACACCCTGCACCCCACCATTCTGCCCCAGTCCAGAGCCCCCTTCTGCACCCCAACCCCCTGCCCCAGGCTCAGCCCAGAGCCGCCCCCCCCCCCACTGCCACCTCCCAACCTTTTTCTCTGTTTCTAGCACAAACAAGCATATTTTCATGGATCCTTGTGGTGAGTGGCATCCTCCACTGAATTTGTCCTTCCGTGACTTAACACAAACTTTTAACAATTAGAGAGGTCTATAATCTTTAATGTTACTACTGGCCAGCATTTTAGCAAAAAGGTTTATAGGTGGAGGGGGAATACAAATCAGAATAGCCATTATCATCTTCCCAAAGGTACAGATAGGACAAGTCCTCACTAGTACCAATGTCCTTACTTTTCCTTAAATTCTCTCTAGTTTGATTGCACTTTATATTCTTGGACATATTACTGTATGTTCCGTTTTTCCTTAACTGCACAATAATCTGTGTTGTGCTTAGTTTCTCACTGTCATAGCTCAGTGATTTTTACCAAGAGCAAATACTGTAGTTTGTCATTTGATCATTAGCCACAACTTCTCTATTCTGTACTTTTAACTGTTGGCAGCATTCTTTAACTTGTCCCTCAGACACAAAATTATTAAATATACTATTTCCATATACAGTTCATGGGAATTTTTATATTTCTTATTATTCCCAACTTTACTCTTAAGTCTTTTTAACTATGTCCCAAGGTTCTTCCTTGGCTAAGACTTTTCTATCAAATCCCTCTGTGGCAAATTATATTAACATACTCTTCCATTATGATTATGAGAACTTACTTTCTTGTCTCGGTGTTGGACAACACCATGGCTGGAGGCCAGGGCACTATTCTCTACAGCCTTCCAAGCCTTGATAGTATCTGGAGCCTTCATAATCTTGAAGAGCTGGAAGTGGGAACAAGACATCATGGACTCATGCCACCCAGGGATGCCAATGTTGGATATCAAAATGGGAAACTGTCCACCCAATTTAGGCTTAATCAATTTTTGCCTTTATACAATTTCAGACAGAAGTATTGTCATTTATGATGTCTGAACGTATGCTTATGCCAATAACAGACCAGATGGAATAGGTAAATGGGCCCAAATTACTGCATTCCAGGGCACTGGAAAGTTCTTCTACCTTCCATGATGATCATTACCTTCTCTGATCTCTTGGTCTAGTCCTTCAGTCCTATTCCTGCAGTTTCTGGTGCAGTGTCTCTCTAGTTTGGGCTTTGTTCACTTGAGTCTTTTATACGTTTTTACATTACAGATTACTTAATTTTATCCACTAGGCTTTTACCACATCACCCCTTCATTTTTGTGTGTGCGTATAACCCATACAATATGCACGCACAAACTTCAATTACCCAACTTCTGCATTTTTCCTGCTGGTTTTGCAGTTTTGGGGTCATGTCATTCTATGTCACCCTGTTCCTAGCTTTCCCAGAAAACTGGGATTTTATATTTATCATTACATATTTGTATCTGTTATTTACATCTTCCAACATGACACATTATGTATCTTGCCAGCAATAATATCATTTTAAACAAAACAGCAATTTATATCAAAGAAGAATTGGCAAAACCACACTTATGCCAGGCAAGGCCTTGGTCTAAGTGTTACCTCATCTAAACCCATTTACTATCCATAATTACAAATTATTAAAATATAGCTTACAAAGCTCTTAATTTTACCATTAGCAATTCTTCATTCTATATTTCAGTATACAAGTCACTTTTCTACCCCTTAATCTATTGCAGGAGTGGGGAGTTATGGAAAACACAATAACCCTTTTCTGTCAGCATTTTTTATTGTCTTTAAACGTAGGGTTTTTCAAAGGCCCTTTTCATTCAAAGTGCATTGTTTGTGAATCATTACCAAAAAAACTTCATCAGAAATTTTCCTGTGTTGCATTTTGAGGATGTCTCAATTTTAGGGCCTTGACATTTAATGGTACTGTAACAGTACATTGTAATTAATGTTAGTTAACTTTGTTTACCTTAAAATTGGTTATTCATGAATCAGCATTTGGGTTGTAGCATTTAATCTATTAATAAATGCTTTCAATTCAGATTGGTTAAACATAAAAGTTAAGTGTGGACGAAGTCTAAGCCAAAGCTGTTCATCCTTACCACCTGCATTGTTACCTTGTTTTCAAAAGCAGTTTGAGTTTTGCTGACTGATGAACTGCTTAAAATTTGGAACAAAAAATCTTCAGTATAAAGTCTGGGCAAACTTTCAAACTCACTTTTGGGACACTAGAAGAATGATATGGCAATGTAAGATTTATTTCTGAAGATTAGAGGATTGCAAATTTCAGGGCATAGAACTATTTTGGGTTGGAGGCAAATTTCCCTTTAAAACATAGGGTACGTCTTCACTTACCGGAGGGTCCGGCGGTAAGCAATCGATGTTCTGAGATCGATTTATCGCGTCTGGTTAAGACGTGATAAATCGATCCCGGAAGTGCTCGCCGTCGACGCCGGTACTCCAGCTCGCCGAGAGGAGTACGCGGCATCGACGGGGGAGCCTGCCTGCCGCGTCTGGACCCGCGGTGAGTTCGGACTAAGGTACTTCGAATTCAGCTACGTTATTAACGTAGCTGAATTTGCGTACCTTAGTCCGAAGTGGGGACTTAGTGGGGACCAGGCCATAGAATGCTACTCAGTGTGTTTATGTAGGCATCCAGTAATGGCAGAGGAGGCAGCTGGAAATGACAGTAGTAAAATCTGTCCAGTATTTGTTATCAGTGTATCACTGGGTACCTGTGTTGTTGTTATTCATTAAGCTCTTGGCCAAATTTGGCCTCTTGACCACTAATATTTGAGTTTGGGGAGAGGAAATGATCATTTTTAATACTTGACTGGCTTTGTATAATTGAGACTACTTAGACTTGAAAAGTTAATTTGACATGAATTTTTCCATAATGTGGCTGACCACTTCAGGAGTAAGGAAGAGAAGAGTTAAAGCTACAGGAAATAGAATTTGCAGGTTTTTAAGGTTGCCTATGTCTTGTACAGCAGACCCGCTGTTCCCAAACTCTGGTCTATGGAGAGTTGGGTGATCTTATTTCTATATGTGAGGGGAGACAAAAAGAAGCAAAATCTGATTGTGAGATTAATTCATTTGAGAGGACAAAACACTTATGAAAGATGACTAAAAGTACGTAAATTTTTCCTCATCACTATTTTTTCATGTTGCATCAACTGCTATAGTTTCCAAAAGGGAGATTTCATGATTTTAAATGGGAGGGAGATGATCCATAATATGGTATCTCTATTAGAGATGAAACTTCATTGAAGCAATGGTTGATAGGTTTTCTACCACAGGTGTTTATAAATTTCCTGTAATATTAATGGCAATGCAAAAAGTTAAGGCTTGCCCTCTAAAATAGTTTGGGGTCATAAATTTACTTTAATTTTTTTCTGTTTGATCCTTTAAATTAACAGAGAAGAATGCACCAATAGCCTTCCCCAACTACTGTAATGCTAAACGAGATCACTCTTTAGCATCACGATGCAGTGGTTCATTAATTTCTTTGTTTTATAACAGCATTTTTGTGTTCAATCTTGGGTTCCTCATCTGTTCGCTGCAGTACCTATTTTTAAGTAATGCCATTTTGGTACTAAGAGAGAGTCTTGTCCATTGTTGGTATTAAGATGCTGATATGCAAGATTATATTTTTAAGAATCTAATTTTGAGCTATCTAGACTGACTTGGTCTAACCTTTTGGATTTTTGGTAATCTACATTTGAGGGGCAGGTGAACGTTTTCCCCCTAGTTTCTGTCTAGTCTGGCTAATATAGGCAGTGAGAGCAAAAGTGTTTTGAGGTGAGATCCCTTGTTCCAGTAAATACACAAGCACCAGTGTGTGCTTTTATATTTACACCCACTGTAAGCACCCCTTTGTTTTAAAGGGCCTTAAGATAAATGAGAATTGGGCATGTTGTGTGTTCATACACATTCCTCCAAATGTTCTTCAGTTTACAGGGGTGGATTTTTGCTTTTTTAATAATCCTTTTCCTCAAAGATTTGATTTTTGAAAAACAGTAACTTTAGTATTAAACTTACCAGTAGTTTTAAATAAGTGATTTAGAAATCATAACTTTGATTCCACATTTAGTAACTGATAAAACTGACAGAGGTCCTGTGGCACCTTTAAGACTAACAGAAGTATTGGGAGCATAAGCTTTCGTGGGTAAGAACCTCACTTCTTCAGATGCAAGTGCAGGTGCCACAGGACCCTCTGTTGCTTTTTACAGATTCAGACTAACACAGCTACCCCCCTCTGATACTTGATAAAACTGAAACATTCAAACAGCAAGAGCAATTGCATTTTAAGAATGACATATTGGAAAAAAGAGAACTAGCTGCAGTCCAACTACGTTGAGCTTGAACTAAAGTGGTACAACTTCCCTAGTGGATTTCACAAATGGGACAGTTTGGAAATACTGCACGTATTAATACACTGTATTAGCATGTACAGTAAAACTAGAGCATTATGTAGTAGGACTTCGTAGTTAAAAGTCAATTCATTATGTTTACTTCATTTGTTAGGTCTCCATCCACCAGGCCCTCCTTTAGCAAGACCTATTCTTCCTCGAGAAAGGGGAGCTTTGGATAGAGTTGTTGAATACTTAGTTGGTGATGGTCCACAGAACAGGTAACATTTTGCTAATGATAGTAACAAAGCACATGCACAATGAGTTAGAAGTCTGGTTTTTGTTTGTGCAGGATTAGATATTCTAGAATTCTGCTGCTTATGTTTGTTGCTGGCTTTATATACAGTTTTCCTAATGAACTGAACTCTTTTACCCCACTCTCAGGAGCGTAAACTCTAGCACGAGCAGTTTTAAAATGATAGTGCTCTAGTGAAAAAGAAAAGCCTTATTGAAGCGTGAGTGGGAGAATGAATTAAACTATCACCTAAAAACATCCGAGACTCTTAATTTCTTTTCATATGTTGTATTTTTAATTGCTTATAACTAATTGCCTGCTGAACTGTCCCAAACACACTTGAGCTGGCCTGCTAACTCTGTTAGAGGAGCTATTAATCAGATCATTGTATTTCACCTTAAAAGTTGAATTACCAATATTTTTGATATGGCTTCTATTGAGTCTAGTATGAAACAGTTAGACGCTTAAATTGCAGCTATGTGACCAGTTAAGCACTAGCCATCTTGGTTTAATTCTTAAGATTATGATTAAAAACTTGTCTTTTGCTGATGTATAAGTGAAGAGACCCTGCTTACAGTACATTTTTCATAAATGAATTGGGCATTACTTGTTAATAATATTTTAAGTATATTAAAAGTTGCTCAGCTTAAATACTATACAGCAGTTCCATTGTCTCAATACTTAGCTTCAACTTAACACCTGTATTTTTACTTTTTTTTAGGTATGCCCTTATATGTCAACAGTGTTTTTCTCATAATGGTATGGCTCTGAAGGAGGAATTTGAATACATTGGTAAGAACTAACTTGCATAGTCTGTTCTTTTTTTTAAAAAAATTACTACTCAAATATAAGTTTTGTACTTCATTAGAGACTGTTACAGCACTGTAACATTTTGATTCTAGTTAAGTACTTAGTACAAGCTAAGAAATGCCACTTATGGTAATTTACTATTCAGTAGCTTAGGATACATTTTAAGTTTTAAAAAAGTACTTTATTACAACTTTTAATCCAAGGATATTGTGTGTGTAAAACTATTCAGGAGAAATAAGCCTCTTCCAAAACATCCTTGAGAATCACTACGGGCTATGAATAGTTCTCAAAAGGGTTTTATAGCTAAAAACTATCTGACATTAAATGCTCCGCTTTACCAGAACTTAAAGAAAATCTTGTTTTGGCAAGAAGCTTCTCAGGGAGGCATCAAAACAGGAGTAGGAACAAGCCCTGGAGGTTATATGTCAATTTATGGCTGACAATAACTTTAGATAGACACAGTTCTTTATTGAACACAGATGATGTACAAAAGAGGCAAAATAAAACTACAGTAAGTCTAATGTTTAAGAAATAGTTTCAGGCATCTCTTTTCTTTCCATTGCGCATGGGGGTCTGTCTCTCTGTTCGGGAGAAAATATACAACACAATAGGCAATATATTATTTTATTTCTGATTGATATTACAGCATGCATGCTGTGTATCAGTCTGAGCAACAAACAGTCAAAATGTGCAAGAAAGGGACTTTGGTTTGGTCTTTTGTAAAAGTGTACTTTAAATTATTGGACAGCATATAATGTTTTTCCAACACAAATGTGGCTTTCCTTACTAAATGCCACGAGAGCAGATTATTTTTCAAGTAATAATGTAGTCTCCCATCAAGTTTGATGGATGAGGTACATTTAAGGACTGTAGACCTACACAAAGAATTTTTCAAAGTAGTAGCAAGTTGGTCGTAATTCTCTCTCCCTTTTTGGTCATTTTGTCTGCTAGTATAGATGGTTTGCCAAACAAAGATGCAGCACTTTGTGAGGTGCAGGAGAAACAATTGAGACAATCAAAAGCAGATCCCATTGATGGCCAAAGTGACCACAGCCTAGTGCCTGGGCTGTGCCAGTTTCACTTGCTAAGGTCGCTGCAGCCTGAAGAAGAAAGCGGCTGCTCCGCCAAAGTCTGTGGGCCATGACTGGCTAGCTCCGGTTTTAATACAGAGTATGTCTTCTCCTAGACGAGCTGCCTACTGGGGCTAGGAGTCTTGTCTACTCCAGCAATGGACTGCCTTTTGTCTGGTCCCTAGTCTTTGACCTGGCTGGCTGCAGTGGTCCTACCAGAAGTTAAACTCCTGTTGGCATAGCTCTCCAGGTCATGAGAACTCTCAAGTCTTCCCACCACATCAAGGTGTAGCCCTCAGGGAAGAAAATGCCTGAGTAATAACTGACAGAATAATTTAAAGGCAATGGATATCCATACTGGACTATTTAAAAAAAAAAACCCAAGAGAATGGTCTTATAAGTCTTTAAGTATACTTTTCTTCCATACACAATCTGCCAATGACTCCAAATCATAGATAAAAGATTCAGTTTATGCATTTGGAAATACTGTGTGTATCATGAGGTGCATGTTTTGTTGATGTTTGTGACACCCCTAGTAATGCCTTCCAGAAATGTTCACAAGTAGCAGCAGCAGAGCTGAAAGTGAACATGCATTCAACAGTGCACAGAGGAAAATGGAAGAAGTATAGAGGGGCCCGAGTAGGTTTGGTGGTGATGCTCTTAAGGCTGAAGTTGGAAGACATATGCTACATAGCTCTATTAACCAATTTTTTAAAACTATTTTTTAATTTAAAAACAAAGGTCCTTTAGTGTCTTAATATTGTCACGTTGCTTTATTTTTTGGAAACTCAGAAAGTTTTATTTCTTGGGAAATATGTTTCAGAATACTAGTATGTTGAGACTTGAAGTCAACTTGGTGAGACTATTATTGTGTATGCTTTTGTAAACCTTTGTGCAGCATTTAGGTGTGCATACTGCTTTTTCCTGAATCCTGCAAGAAAAACTAGACCGCAAGCTCCACGACTCCCAGACTTCAGCTGTGAAAAGAGGCAGCCAACAGAATTGCTGACTACGGTTGAACCTTTGCATTCTGGAGGGGTAAAACTTCAGGAGAATCCACCAAGGGAAGGTGTGTACTAATCCTGTGAAGCTTGCCATTATTAATTTTCATTGAAATCCTTTTGTCACTGCTCTTCTTGGTTCAGCCTTTTTTCCTTAAAGTGCAGCAGTTTTTAAAGAATTCTAACCTTTTTGTTCTCCTGTAGTGTGTGTATTTTGCATTGTTTGTTCCTTAGTGTGTGTTTGTAGTTTACCCTTCATCTGCATGGCTGAAGGATTTTTAGCTATACAACTCCTTAAAATTCAGTCTTACTTCACTCATGTCTGGCAAGTTTATTTTCCCTTTGAAAATACTGCCTAATGAAATCCCTGTTTTTTATCATTGATAAACAAATAGCAAACCTAAACTGTCTATTACGTGCATAGTTAACAAGACAATCTGCCCCTAAGTGGTTAAAGTTCACTGTTTTTTCAGCAGGTCATTTGGTTGAGGTGGGTTGAAATTCCTGCCTTTGTTCCTTAAGTTAGTTTTGCTATTTTCCCCAGGGCAGGAAAATCTAGTAAAACTGCCTTGCTTAAAATCAAGAGTTCAAAGACAAATTGTCCATTTTAATTTAACAAAGTTCCTTTTGAGAAGTTTTATAGTCTGCAAATACAGTAGGTGTCTAGTGTTCAACCAACAAGAAGATGCAATGTTTTCAGGAGAGTTTAGAAAATAGTTGTAATTAAAACCAAAGAATCTTCAGTTAGACTTAATTTTGATTACTTACTAAAGAGGTATGGATTTCTCTACGGTTCGGTTAAAACCAGACAAGATCTAAAGCATGTGGGGCTGGGGAGTATGGAGCAGTTCATGTCACTATGTGCTTAGCTGAAGAGGTTTAAAAGGCAGCTGACTACAGGAAATAGTTCTAGTAGTTTAACAAATAAAACTCCCTTCCGTTGTAATCTTTTCATGTCGGGGACAGAGTGGCATTGTCTTTCACTTTGTATGTGGCATGAAGAGGCAGGGTGATCATCTTTGCCATTGCACAGAGGACAGATTAATAAATTTGGGGTTTTTTGTAGTGGTGTATTAAGATCTTTAATGGCTTAAACTGGTTAAAAACACACACAATTAGTGTCTAATTACTTGCTAATAGTGCTGCAGTTCTCTAAAAATACCACTTGTACAGAATTCTCATTACTGATGTCTCCTGCCTCAGCATGAGTCATGTGGGAAACTGCCTCTAGGTCTTGAGAAATTTGATCCAGTGAGGCACCTGCAAGCTGGCTTGAGAGCTCTAACTGAATATGCTCCAACTTCACATACCTCAGGGTATGTCTCCACCACAAAGGAAAACCTGAAGCATGGAGTCTCAGAGTTCAGGTCAATTGATTCGGGCTTTGGGGTGCGGGGCTAAAAATAGAGGTGTAGATATCCCATTTGAGCTGGGACACGGGCTCCACCACCATCCACCCTCTCTGGCTTCCAGAGCCAGGGCTCCCACGTGAGTTGGGATGACTAAACTGCTATTTTTAATCCCACAGCCTGAGCCAATTGACCTGGGCTCTGAGATTTGGCACTGTGAGTTTTTCTTCACAGTGTAGACATAACCTTAGAGGCTCCAGAACATTCCAGACAGTTCCTTTCTGATTGGTCAGCGAAGGAGCTGCTCAGTGGCTCTGATGTGGGAGTGCCTCTTGCTGCTTTAGCCCTTATTCAGGGCCTTGTTGTGTTCTCCAGTTTCTAGTCAATCCTACTTAATCATAAAATCATAGAACTGCAGGGCTGGAAGAAACCTTGAGTTTAGGCAGGACCAAGAAAACCTACACCGTCCCTGACAGGGTTTATCCAACTTGTTCTTAAAAGTGATGGGGATTTCCCATTCTCCCTTGGTAATCTCTTCCAGAACTTAGCTACACTTATAGTTAGAAACGGTTTTCTAACATCTAATTTAAATCTCCCTTACTGCAGATTAAGCTGAAGGGAGGATAAGAAGTAGACATGGAGAACAATTGATCATCTTATTTATAATAGCCCTTATATTTGAAGACTGTTATTAGGACCTCCTTCAGTTGTCTTTTCTCGAGCCTAACATGCCTAATTTTTTAAAACTTTTTGCATTGGTCAGGTTTGGCTTCAGCCCGGGCTCAAGCATGGTCTTACGTTGCAGTGTAGATGAACTCTAAGAAAGGTGTAGATCTTCTACTTAACGGGGAAGGAGAGCTAATAACTGATGACATCAAAAAGGCTGAGGTGTTTAATGCCTATTTTGCTTCAGCATTCACTAATAAGGTTAACCGTGGCCAGATGCTTAACAATTAATATTAACAACAAGGAGGAAGAAACACATGCAATTTGTCCATCTCTCCACTTTGTGTAGGATTCCTTTTTGATTTTTCATATAATTAAAGAGCTCCTGATGGAGCCATATTGGCTTTATTAGTCTTCCTACCTTTCCTACTTTTAATCTCTTTAGCCAAGAGGTTTCAGGCTCAATCCTTTGCTGCACCCAGAGTTTATTGGGTGCAACTAAGTGAAGGAACTCCAAAGTAGCTGTTTACAGCTCCCACTTGCTCTTGAAGCTGACTGTAACTGTAACTGTCCCCAGCATAGATTAAAGCAGCCCAGGGTGTAGTTGCTTTTATCTGTGAACTCAATCTTCATAGAGAGAAAATCTTGCTGGTGAAGCAAACTGTCTTTAAAGACGATACCTTGTAATTCTGCTTCTCTGAAAAGAAGTATTTTTCTTTGTATTTTCTCAGGTATGTTACATTAATATTCCCTATATTGAAATGTATTAACTATGGGATCATCTTTCAATTGATTTTTTTTAATCATGAAAATCATGATGGCCATCAATTTGGTTTTACCAGTGTGCATAGGCGGCGAGTTCCATACCCACGTGGTGCTCGAGCACCAGCAATATTCAGAACCCAGGGGCTCAGCTCCATCAATATTTGGGGCCGGGTGTCCCCCCCGGCCCCACCTGCCGCCCCCCCCCATGCCTTCCCCGAGTGTCCCATGGCCCCGAGTTGCTGCCCCCCCTCCTGCCTTCCCAGCTGGAGCAGAGCATCTCTGTCCCCGGAGAGCAGCATCTCTGTCTTTGTCATCTCTGTCTTTGTCTCCTCCATGCTGCTTCCCTGCAGCAACTGCTGCTGCAGGGTCGTAGTGCCCCCTGCTCCACTGCCAGGGCAGACTGACCCTGAGCCTGCCCTTACCCCTCAAACCCTTTCATTTTCCAATGGGACCCTCCAGCAGCACAGGGCATCTCTTCCCCCCCTCCCCCCCCACCTCACAGTCACCACTCCTGCCCCATGCTGGGCAAGGAGGCAGCCCCATCCCTCACCCCCAGTGAAGTTACAGTCAGGGGCAACAGCAGGGGAGGAGGTGCACGCAGCACCCCATGGCACCCACCACAGGGGAGGCGAGGGAGAATCCTGGACCTGAGAGGGGCCCTAGGAGCACATGCAGTGACAGTGTGCTGCTGGGGGGGCACGAAAGGGGGGCTCCTCCCCCACAGCTTGCTGCTGCTGCTGGCAGGGAAAGGGCTGGGGGGAGTCCTCTTCTCTGTCCCCTGTCCCGGAGCAGCCTGCCTGCACCCCAAACTCATCCCCAGCCCTGCCCCACCCCAGAGCCCACACTCCCAGTCAGAGCTTTTACCCCACCACCACACCTTCAACCCTCTACCCTAGCCCTGAGCCCCTCCAGCACCCCAAACACCTTATCCCCAGTCCCAGCCAGAGCCCTCACCCCCACACTCCTACTCTCACCCTGAGCCCCTCCCACACTCCAAACCTCTCATCTGCAGTGTCACCCCAGAGCCCTCACCCCTGCACCCCTCCCCAAACTCTCTCCCAGAGCCTGCACCCCAATCCCCTGCCCCAGCCTAGGGCCTGCACCCCAGATCTCCTCCCTCACCCAAACTCCCTCCCAGAGCCTTGGGCAGGTGGGGGGGGGGTGCAGAGTTTGGGCAGGGGCGGGTTCTGGGCACCACCAACATTTCTACAAAAATGCCACCCCTGCCTGTGTGATCTTGAGTTATATTAGTTAAACGTTGAACGCAGACCCAGATCTTCCTGCTGCTATTGCAGATAAAATTGTAAAGTATCCCTCCCTTGTATTAACCATTTCTTATTTTCCAAAGTTCTCTGTGTAGAATGCAGTCAGAATGCAGATAAGCAGGGAAATCATTGATATAATTGAAAAATGATTAAGGTGTTCTAAAACAAAACATGCAATCCAGATTGTCAATAAGTTAATTGTCAATAAGTAAAGTATGAAAGTATAATCTATGTGCATCAGACTAAATTTTTAAAACAGGCTGGGATTTACAGAAGAAGGAATTGGGTTCCCAACACCCACTATTACTGGAATGTGGGCATCTAATTTCCTTATCTTCTGAAAATCTCAGCCCTATAATATACTAGATAAATACTGTACCTACTGTCTTTTAAGACATTATAATAGATGTATAAAACAAAATATTAATTCTCTAACTGTACTATGCAAAAGAATGTTTTCTTGTACCCATATTAGATGGTGCACTATAGGTTGATGCTAATTTGTAATTTTGTCATTATGCACAAACTGACCATGACTTGAGTCAAGGCATTTCATTTGAGCAGCCCTCTCTTATGAAAATATTCTCTCAATCTGTCGAAAAGCATTTGCAATAAGCCATTTTTGTCAGATATAATTTATAGCATAAACTCTGCTTACAGATAGTTTTAACCCATACTTATTTTAAAGGGTTTAATTAATGTAACTCTGTAAACTTAAGCTACTAAGCTTTCCTTTTAATGAGGTATAAACTGTAAGCAAGGCTTTTGCAGATCACCTATTAAGACGGTTCTCTCCTGGCAAAAAGTGGCATATTTAATTATAATTAAAACAGATGTTGGCAACAGGAAAGTAACTTCTACCAAAATGTTGGCACCATTCAGAAACATGATTTGGATCAGTAACCCTGATAAACCATAGCCTTGGAGTAAGGCTAATGCCATTACCAACATAGCAAAACCACAGTTGCATGGGCAAAATGACTAACCACCTTCAGTAAAGATGACTGGGTCCAATTCCCTCCC